TCTAACTTTCTCTCAAAATAAAAAGGCAAAATGAAGGGGAAGTAACCCTTCCACCTCATGCATGCACATGCACACATATGCACACACTCACATATATATATATAGCCATCATCCAATAAACACATATATATCTATATATATATATATATATTTTCATAAATATATATACATAACCAATTAATTCACAATTTTTCAAACCGGCATGTATCAATTATCATGTTATTACGTAATTATAAAATCAGATAATCACGTATAAATTTACCTTGGGTAATAACCAGGATCTGGTTATCACATATCTATATATGGCATTTTTAGGATAATTCAAATAGAAGCAATTGGATGTCCAATTTGGGCCTTGTTGGTCCCAAGGGACGGAGGAGGCTAGGTCAGTCGAACGATGGTTACCGGTTCAAAGACGTAAGATGATCCTGTTTTTTCAGAGTAAGAAAGGGTAGAGAAAATGCCTTGAGATTATCCCAAGGACGCCTTCGGCATCCAAGGGTCACAGAACCCTCTGTTTTTGGTGCCTTTAATATGCCTAGTCTTTCCGTCGATCGTAATGGCTTTTTATTTTTTCATGTTAAAAAAAAATTGTTTAGAGTCGGGATAGGGTTCCACTAAAAACCATTCGAGTTGAAATTGATTATTGTTCCTATATAGTTCAAACAATCTATGGGGTATTAGGCATTCAAAATTTGGATATTTATATATAGAGAATAATAAACCTTTATTTGCCTTTCCATTCTATTCAGTGATGGAACAAAAAATGATAAATTCATTTCTTTTTTTTCTTTTCTGTTCAATAAAAAGAATCATATCATATAGTAATTCTTTAGAAATGGATTTTCTGGTTAAAGAATTTTTCTAGTTGTTCTGAAACAATTAGAAGATTAAAAGTATTTTAACAATACTTTGGCTGATATTAGTAGATGCTACCTGAACCACGCTTTTTCTATACATATTACGTATATTTCTTTTCCCTGGCGTAGCTAGGGCCATCTGGACTTGAACCAGATACCTCGTTCGTGAAGTAAAACATCGTACCTACGGTCCAACCAATTGGAAGAAAATCAATAGAATCCTTTTTCGGAGCAACTCATCCTTCCCGACGCAGCATACAACTCTTCATTGTCCTGCACTCTCCAAGTGTGCCTATTATTTGAAAATGAGTAGTTCAGATAGAATCGAACTTTCGATCAACCTAGATACTTAGGAGCTTATGAATGAAGACATAGTCTCTTTGGATCCCATTAAATTTCATTTGTAATTTACTCTAGAATTTATTTTATAACTTATAAAATAAGTGTTATAGGCATTGTGTTTCTTAAAATATAAATAATATATTATTTTAACCCAAATAATCCAAGTATATTTAATTAAAATATTGTGACATTAGAATATATATATACTTGGAATCATGTGAGACCAAGAGTTTTTTGTGAGACCCGTAAGACCAATTCTCAACCTTTGGATTAAATCTACAATCGGACAATCTGAACATTCATAAACGCCACGAGACTTCTCAATAATCACAAAATTGCCTCCGTACAACTTTAGACCATTAGATCATTAGCTTATAAAGTGGATCAATGAACATAAATTGGTCTTACGGGTCTCACGAAAAACCCTTGGTCTCACGTGAACTCGAACCTATATATATATATATATATAGAGAGAGAGAGAGAGAGAGAGAGAGAGAGAGATGAGCGATCAAATACAAACCACCCAATTTGTACAAACCGTGCAAACTTCATTCAACCAATCATAATTTTTCATTTTGTTCATTTTTTTGTAATTATGAGAGGTCGATTAATCATTTTTATTGTTGAAGGTGTTAATCATGAGTATTATCATCTTATTATTTTAATTTTAAAAAAATACATGAAATAGTTTAATTAAAATTTTATTAAGTATTATATGAAACAATTTCATAACCATAAATGAAACAAATTCATCAAAAAAATACTATATGAAACAATTTTACAAGATTAAACAATTTCATGAAAAAATTTCATAAGATTAAACAATGAAATCGACGGACGATGGTGGTTTGCACGGTTTGTACAAATTGAGTGGTTTGCATTTGATCGCTCATATATATATATATATATATTTGGAATCACGTGAGACCAGTCTGTTTTTATGAGACTCGTGAGACCACTTTTGTACATTTGAAACTTCACAGCAAAACGCTGTGAATGTTCGATTCTTTTTTTACTTTCACAGCGTTTTGCTGTGAAATTTCAAGTGTTCCTAATATCACATTTGCATATAAACATATATTTTTATATATCAAGAGATATAATTTACACATTCGGTCCCAATATTTTTCAAAAGCTGTATTACAAAATAACTAATAACTTTTTCCATAAAATCTCTATACCACACATGAATATCTAACACGTATTCATATACAAAAGAATAATATGTTAGCCTAATAACCCATGCAAGCATATATAATACTCTACAATCCCTTCCCCCTTGTCATCTGGTTGTGTCCAACCTGTAGTGCACATTTTTGCAATACAAAATGAGGGTTAGACCTTGAGGTCTAATGAAACTTTGATGCAATTACATAGTGAAAAATCACCAAATCATATTTATGAAATCATATTCGTAATAATAACAAATATACATCATTTTTGAAATAATAAACCTTATTTATTTCATCCAAGTACCTAATAACTTAATAAACACATTATGAGTAAAACTTGTAGCATCATATAGAAGATTATATAATTTTTCTCGCATCACATGAGTGAGACAAATCCATCTGCTCGCAACACACTAGTGCACAACTCATCGCATCACACTGATACGATAAACCCAACTTGGCGCATCACATAAGTGCGATAAGTCAATCTTGTCGCATGATAAACTCATTCCTCGTATCACATAGGTGCGATAACTACTTTTTATCGCATCAATAAGATGCGATAACTTACACTATGAGTCTTCGCATCATAAGGATGCGATAACATTGAATACTTTGATCAAAAACCTAGATTTTATAACTCAATGGTTATGTCATCCTTATCCCGGTATATACCTCTCCTTGATATATCACTTTTATAACCAAAATACACTTCTCTTTGATATGTCACCCTTATTTCAACATATGATATAACATAACCAAAAACTCACTTTTATGCTAATTATAACATTCAAAACAGTTTTATATCAACAACTCACATAAAAAACATACTATTCTACCTCCAGTTTTCAAATAAGGAAAGATGAAAAAATTAAACTCACCTTATAAAATCACACTGAGATGAAAATAAACAACAACACGTATTTAAATTGATAAACACAAACTTAAATCTTTCTTTCTTTCTCTCTGATTCTATTTAATCAGGCTCCAGAAAATACCCACCAACTTTTTATCAACTTAACATGAGATAATATAAATTATCTCAATGAGGAATAATCATATCACATAAGACGGTTGGAGTATTAAAACAATTTAGGCACATTTAACCCTTTAGCTTATCACTATCTTTTAAATGTAACCCTAAACTTCAATAACCAAATATCCGGTTATCATTGTAAAAAAATGGTTTCACCGGTCTCACGAAAACAAATTGGTCTTACGTGAATCCAACTATATATATATATATATATATATATATATATATATATATATATATATTTTGTTAAAATTAGTTTTTAATTGAAATAATGTGACATTATCATATAGACAAATTATGGTTTATATGCTTTTTGTGTTACTAGTTGTTACAATTAGTTTTTGATATTTATTAAAACGGGTAGTTATATTAAAAGCCATTTAATGATTAGTTAAAAGTGGTTTACTAATTTATATTTCAGAACTTAAAATAAATGTTAAATTTAAAGTAGCAAGAAATAATATCATTGTAACGAAAAAATTTCTTTGCACAAATGCAAGGCTGCCACGTGTCAATTCATTATCCCCTGCAGATAAGATACAATCGTTCGCCTTGTTCACAAATTCTTTAATCCCATTATCCACCGTCGATCACTAACTATTTCGGATCTGAACCGTCCGATTCCATCCAAAACCCCTGCTCCTAAATGATTTCAGTCTTCATCTGAAAACCTTCCCTCAAATTCTCTCTCCTCTCTAACCGCCAGTAAAAATGGCAGCAGCTGCCGCCACCGCTCTTCAACAAGCTCCGGTCACATTCCATTCCCGCACTCCAGTCTCATTTCGTGGAAGTTTTGTCAAGCCAGTAAAAATTTCGTTTTCCGGCGGTTTAAGACTCCCGAAGTTATCAATCAAACTCACCGGCAAATCTAGGCGAGGCGGCGGTGCCTCCGGCGCTAAGATGGCTGATTCTGCGGCATCGAGTTATGCAGCAGCATTGGCAGATGTAGCCTCCGCAAACGGTACACTAGAGGCAACTGTCAAGGACATGGAGTTGGTGGATCAATTCTTCTCAGAGAGAGCCAACTTCGACTACTTCACCAGCCCTATCGTAGGCCTGGAAGAGAAACGAGCATTGCTCGACGATATTACTGCGTCAGGTAAACTCCAAACACACGTCTGCAACTTCCTCAACATCTTAATCGAGAGGAAGAGGATCGATATGATAAAGGAGATCGTGAAGGAGTTCGAGCTGGTTTACAACAAGTTAACCGAGACTGAATTAGCGGTGGTATCATCGGTGGTGAAGCTGGAGGAGACACAATTGGCACAGATCGCAAAGCAAGTGCAGAAATTCACGGGAGCAAAGAACGTGAGGATTAAGACGGTGATTGATGAGTCATTGGTTGCCGGATTCACAATTAAGTACGGACAAACTGGATCCAAAATGATTGATATGAGCGTGAAGAAGCAATTGGAAGAAATTGCTGCACAACTTGAGATCGGAGACATTTCTCTTGCAGTATGATTCGATTCTAATTTCATGATTCTTGTATAATAATTTGCTTTACGAAAACATATGAATATATTTTTTGGGAGAATTGTAATCATGTTTTTTCATGAGACAGTTAAATTACAATGATTCTAGTATAACTTCACCTCCGAAATATCCATTTTCTTTTACATGAACAATGATGATTCCCATGGTCCAGTGGTGATTCGTGATCGTTGTTGATCTGATGATCGATTGTCATGTCCGTGTTCCAATTCAGGGTTGAGATAAGTTTTCGATTGATTTCAATGCAACTTTCATGTATCTACTCATCATCCTTGGTTTTCCGGTGACAAAGACCTTTTGCCGAGTAAACAACGAGAGTGAATGTATAAACACGTTAAATCAAATAAATTTATCGTTCAATAGAAATTGATACAATTCGTAACAATGGATGATTACATTAACTTGATCTTAAATTTTTAATTGGCGTGTCAAAATACGCTATTGTGACCAAATAGGTGACTATATAAACCAAATTGTTTTACATAAAGATTTTTTTTTGTTAATCTGGATATCCAATTCGTTGTGCGAACCGACTAATCCCAGAGCGATATATAAAGATTTATTGTAGTCGTATTTTGTAATCATTACTAATGACGGAAAAGGTTATTTTCCAATTTAAGCTTTACTAAAAATGAATTGATGTATTTATATCGGGAGAACTCAAAAATGAAATCTTTTATTTTGGTTTGTTTGACGCTTATATCTATTATAAATTTGGATTTTTAGGCGGGTTTACGTCGTAGGGTCAAGATTGGGTTGGACAGATAAAGGATTTGGTGAATTTGTGGATGATATTTGGATGAATCAACGATAGAAGGATGAACGAGATAAGGGGGTGGGTGGACGAATGCAGCGAGACGTTTGTTGGATGAAAATTAGATACGAATAAACACGAACCGGAAGTACAAATAACTTAGAAAAGGTTGGTTTTTAGTGCAAAATGTGTAAATTCTTTTGTTCAGGTTATGGTTCAGAATACGTTTTAATCCAACCGGTTTAGTTTGTATCAATACAGGATAACAACTTATTGAGTTTTAACATATAAATCAACGAAAAATTCTTCAATGTTTCAACGTAACAAAAAGCGTGAGTTAATAAAATTTGTAGTGACAACTTTAGACACTTGTCTCTATTTTTGGTTTCAAATTCGATATAAAACATGAATAATGACCAATAAATCAAAACAAATGTTGTTAAAATATTTAAAACATTATTACATATAAATCTAGCGAAATCCCATGAAAGACCAACCACCTCGTGGAATTTCAAAATTCCATGTTTATGGATTTTCAATAAAATCCAAAGATTTCAAATCTAAGAAATCTTTCATCCCAAAACACAGGTTGGAATGAAATTCAATTTCAAATCCGATAAATTTGATGTACATGCACTCGCTCGATAAAAATCTTAGGTCAACTAAAAAATTACTAATAAAGAACCCTAATTAATCGTAAAATCTTCTCAAGAATTAATTAGAATTGTGGTAACACCGACCTCATTCAAGTTGTTTATTCAAATACCCACATTGTATTATACAAACCAGACGTAAAAATCAATACAACACGGAATTTTACGTGAAAAAATAAACGGACGAAGGAGACCACCAAGAGCGAATTACGAATATCACAGTTATTAACAATGAAAATTACAGTAAAATGGAGAAACACACAACACAGTGTGAGCTCAGGAGGCTGAATCTTGATTAGGTTATAATAGCACTTTGAACAAGACCATGATTTGGATACCTGATTACACAAATTAAGCAAAATGTTCATACATCATAAAACATCCACACCATAATTAACATCCTAATTGCACCAAAATCACAAACCATTTTTCGAAACCCTAAAAGCTCTCGATGTTGTCGCCCTCCACAACGCTCGATATAAGCACGTCGTTCGAGTTTCGCACCGAGCAATTGTTGCGAATCTCGCCTTGTGCGCCTGTCAACACCTCCATCTGCCCCATCTTCACCATAACATTCACAAATTTCTCAAAGAACAACGTTTGATTTACCGCAAAGCTCGTAACGATGGCTCGAGTCCTTGTATCGGTATATAGATCTTGATCTGACGTCAAGAGTCCTTGTTTGTTCATAAGATCGACGTAGTACTTGTTATCAAACACGTTTGGAGATCGGATGTCCATGAAGGTGGTGGCGTTGGTATTGGCATCCGGGCAGACACCTTTGAGATTGCCAGCGAAGGTTTGGTCCATGGTTGCGTCTTGCGTAGGGTAAAGTCGCCGTGTGAAAGATGGGCAATGAGCGACCCCGATCGTGTGCGCTCCTGATAGCGCCACAGCATCCGTGGCATCAAAGTTTCTGGGGGCAAGGGTAGTTAATAGCGTCTCAGTCGGTACAAATGGTGACGGAAGATTGGCAAGTGTTGCGTCTCTTGTGGCGAATGAGACTCCGTCTCTTCGGCCTAGCGGAACGCTATATTCCGGACCACCGGTCTGATATACATCAAAAGATATAACAAATATGTTAATTAATTTCTATATAAACCAAACCAAATTAAACTTAATGTACCCGGTATATCCTAGAGATGTACAAAAGACCAACCCCGAATCCCCAATCTGGGCCTAGTAAGCCCGAGCCCAGACCCAGACCCAACCTGAAAGTCTGATCAAGCCAACTTTTTTTTACGGGGTCTAGTTAAAGTCAAGCCTGAACCAAGCTTTTCTTTATTGAAAATGGGTTTAGAAGGCCTGGGCTTAGCCCAAATAATCTGAAGCGTCCCACCTGGTGGTGTGGTCAGGATGGGATATACGCAGATATGTCATTGATTTTAATGAGGTCATGTAATCAAGTGTTATTTGATTGCCATTTTATGAAAATTAATAAAACTAAAATTTCAAAACAAGTGCGAAAAAACTTATGTGGAAGGATTTACCAAGACGATGGCATCGCGAGCAGCTATGGCGGTGATATCAGAACATGAGACGCTACCTGCACCACATTGTTTATGAACCCTACGACGAAGATCCTCAATGATATCGAAACCCCTCAAGCTTAAATTTGGTGGTGCGGTTTTCTCACTATCAACCGGCCCGCTTGCTGATCCATCCAATAACACTGAACCGTCACAACCCTATTTACAAACAATTAGGTTAAGTTGTTTATCAAATTAATATGTTTAAATATTCCAATTACTTTTTGAAATATATAATATTTATGTATGGAAGATGCAACAAGTAAAAAAACAAACTCTCTCATTAAACATATATATTCATTATGAAAACATGGAATCTTGTCGGCTTTTCTTGTTTCCTTTTAAACTTTAAATATTATTTTAATTTTTTTTTATTTATTAACCTGCTATGCGAGCCGACAAATCTCAGGACGACCACCTGCTTTACAGATAGCTCGGAGGTCACCGCATTTTTAAATATATAAAAATTGTATATAAATATATTTAACAAAATAAAGATAGCTTAATTATTGGTTTATTTTTAAAACAAAAAGCTATATAAAAGCTAAAGAACAGGTATATTCTACGCACGCTGAATTCAAACCTTGGTCTTTATTAAAGCCAAACCTTTAATCATTCATACTTCATAAAATAACTCAACTTATAGTTTTAAACAATATAAAAGCACGTGACACACTTTACAGAAATGAAAGGATATCGGGTTCATCGGGTTGGGTTGGGTTCAAATAATAGTAATATAATATCAACGATCAATACCTACGGTTTGAAAATTTTACAACTCGATTAGACATCGGGTTGTTTCGAGTTAAGTTATTTGGCGTTGGATTAGGAGATATATATAATTATACCTGAACGAAGCAATCATGGAAGTGAACCCTGAGTAGAGCAGCAGCAAGGCCGACATCCTTCTTGAACACCTTCTCCAACTGCTTCCTAACAACGGATTCCAATTTCGGACAGCTACTTTCATAGTATTTCCAAGAAAGTCCCTTCACCAATGGCTGCTGCTGTGCCTCTGATCCATGCATCATCACCACCACAATGATCAAACAGACAAACTGAAGGGGCATTAAAGTAATTTTAGAAGCCATTGTTAGGTTGAGTTTTGCTGTTGAATCCTGCAAAAGAGATGTGTAGTACTTATAGATTGGAAAGTTTCATTAAGGACCCTCATCTTTAAAATATTGGCTGAACAGTCCTTCAAAGTTTTTTTTGAGGGTTGGGTGATGTGGACACGTGGGTGCATGCATCTAGGGACTAGGGTCAGTACTTCATCATTGTAGTCTGTGCTTTACACACGCGTCTCCTCTATTTAAGGAAATATTACATAGTCTTTTTTTTAATATAATTTAATAATTTATAATTAAAAGAATATTTATTTTAGGACCGAATAATATATAAATATTTTAATATTCAGGTCATTTATTATGATTTGTTCCTACTTTATTAATAAGTTAAACAAGAGGTCTTTTAAAAATAAAAAATTAATTAATTACTATATATTATGTTATATAGAATATCTGTAAATGTTTCACTAATAAAATAATATTTTACATTTTCACATCTTATAAAATCATAAATAAAAACTGATTTATAAATATATGAAAATATCAAAAAGAGAAAAAATGCCCATTTGATTCATTGCCAAATATGCAACCACTAGAGTATGTATCCTTTTTTTTCAAAATAAGGGGGGTTAATTAAAAAAACAATAAACCATAAGGACTGAAACTGTAATTCTCTTTTACTTTTTTACATTCAACACTTATTTACTGCCAGAAGAATTACTATTTTTGAAAAAGAATAAAGTCAAAGCTGACGTCAGTTGAATTATTAAATATAGCAGCAGCCTCACCACCATCTTCTTTTTTTATGAGGGCTGCTGGTTATCCGGGCCGGTTCGGGTTATCAACCGATTTTAGTTTTTCGGGTTCTCATAGATTATCAATCCATTTCAAAAACTCAAATATGAATTTTGGGTTTTATCCGAGAGGATGATCAGTCAAACTGGAACTGAGACACGGCCTAGACTCTTACGGGAGATAGCAGTGGGGAATTTTCGTAATGGGCGACCCCTTTTCCACCGACTCTTTAACCTTAAAAACGTTGGTTTTAAGAATAATCCCAATTATTTTGATAACTTATTTATATCACAAACATATACGAAAAATTATCAACTTCAATAACACTTTTAAAAGTTACATGATTCTAATCCAATATGTATTGAAGAGCATTTTCAATCCAATGTTTTTATAAGTAAAAAGTGTTGATTTTTAAAAGAATCATTATTGGATAGAGTTCTTATAAGACCCTCGTATTCTTTGAGTTGTGTACTTTTGTTTGTCACATCATTTCCACGTCACCGAATTAAGAACCTAAATCAACTTTCACAATGGTCATTTCTTATATGGACCCATTTTTGTGGATTCCGTGTATTATTTTTATGCGGTGGCTATGTTGAAGTCTGATGCACTCCTTTGGTGGGATATCGTGATGGCTTTCAATGACTCGAGTGTTGCAAAGGGGATGTCTTGGGAGGATTTCAAGATCAAGTTTAAGGAAAAAGCTTGTTTGAAAGCATTAGTAAGACAACAACAAGAAGATTTTTTTAAGTTCGAATAGGGTAGTATGACAATATAGGGGTACACTTCTAAATTTCTAGAGAAATCACGATCTGCTGAGTCATATGTGTCAATAGAGACTCGATGGGCAGAACGATAAATTTGGGGCTTAAAAGCCTTAATGGGCCAAGATAACAGAAAAGGAGAAGAACCATAAGTTGACAGATAGGGGTAGCGACAAAAGAAAATGGGAAGGGGAATTAATTGATTCGAGGAAGCCACATCTTGGGAGATTTGATAGTCGTACGAGTCGGAGACAATTTGGCAGACCATGTACTAAATGCAATTAGGTTCACCAAGGAGAATGTGGTTTAGAGGTGAAGACTTTATATTGAGGATTGATGCATGCCTTGTGTCAAAAATGAATAGCTGTGGAGATTGCTATATTATTATTTGTGTGTGAAATGAGTAACTTACACGGTACAAATGATGTGTGTGAGTGTTAAAATATGTCATATAATTCCAATCTTGACTATCCACTACAACAAAATCGGGTTTATAGGACACTCTCAAATTCTAGGTGTCCTAATAGACCTCTTTATAGGATTTAGTTTATAGGACCAAAAAAATAAAGTGTCATATCTAAAGGTGTTGTAATAAGTTTATATGTTGTTTTTTGACGTTGTAATAAGTTTTTTATGACACTTTTAATATAAAGTGTCCCATTATCAACTTTATAGGACAATATTTGAAAAATTGTCCTATAAAAATGAGTTTATAAGACACTTTCTCAAAAGTGTCATATAAAGTTGCTAATGCGACACTTTGTATTAAAAATGTCCTAAAAAACTTGTTAAGATGCTCAAAAGCGTCATATAAACTTATTACAACACCTTTAGATAGGACACTTTATTTTTTTAATCCTATAAACTAAGTCCTATAAAGAGGTCTATTAGGACATTTAGAATTTGAGAGTGTCGTATAAACCCGATTTTGTTGTAGTGATCATAACTAAGTCTTTTAACTATTGTACTTGTTCTGTCAGGTTATTAACTAGTCAGGGTATAAAGTGTAGATTTCTTAAAGTTGTGGTTGTTTAGAATAATTGGAGGACTGCGCCTCACATATTGGAAAAGTTCAGGGTTAGCGGAGCAACTTCTCAATATCTACAAGGGTCATTCTTGCCTTTTGTTGGAACATATATAAATGACTTTTGTGATGGATTTATTCATTCTTTCACCCTACAACTAACTTTTGGCTCTAATATAATCTCTAGATATTTTGATCTCTTCATCTTTTTCTTTTCATTTTTCTAAATCTAGATTAAGATACATTTAAATATTGTTCTTAGTTTAGTTTTAGATCTTATTCTTGAAGTAGATTTTGTATCTTGTATATTGTATTTTTGTTGTTTGATAAAATAAAATCATTTTCTTCAAACACAATTTGTTTTAACATGGTATCAGAGCTTATTGGTTTAGTTTTTTTTTTCTCTCACAAGATTGTTGTTGTTCTTCTTATATCGAATATAGGATCAGTAAGGTTCCTTGGCTCACAAGATTGCAAAGTCTCGAATCTCCGGTTCCCTCTATGATAGTCGACCTTTCTTTCTTTTTCACCCTATTTTCTGTTTTGAGAGATTGTTCATCGCTTTGGGTTGCGTTCCGTATTAAGATCTATAAGATCTTACTTAGGACCCCATTGCGTTACCTTTGTTGTTGTGTACTTTTTGACACTGTCATCTGTCTGTTCTTTTTTTTTATCTGTTTGTTTGCTTGTTTAAAAGGTGAATGATCGTTGGGTTGAGTGTCGTGTCAAGATTGTTAAGATCTGACTCTGGTCCCCATTACGTGAGCCTCGACTTGTTCTTTTATAATTTTGATTTATGTATATCTCAGATCTGGTCCTATCTAGATCTGGTTCATCTTTCCTGTTCTTATAAAAGTTTGTTGTAACCTGCGATTCTTGAGCTTGTTGTTGTTAACGCAGATCTGGTCCTGTCCAGATCTTTGATTCTTCTGTTTTGTTCAGGTATTTGCAAATTCTGTTATACAGGTCCATCTCAATCTCAGATCTGGTCCATAGTTCTTGTTCTTGGTTCCTTTTTTGTTCAGGTTGTATCATGGATCATATTGGCTGACTGTCTTGTAATTTTTTTTGTGACCTTTAGATTCTTGAGCTAGTTGTTAATATCACGGATCTCGTCCTGTCCAGATCCGGTTCTTCTGTTGTGTGCAGACGCTTGCGATATCGGTTTCTATAGGGTTTTTTTTCCCTTTTTTCTTTTAATTCAAGTTAAAAGGGTGTGGTGGTAAGGTTACTGTTTCTTTTTGATAGTTATCTTCTTTCCTTTTAACAAAAGTTAAAAGGTGTGGTGCATTTTCTGCTTTCTCTTCCTTCTGTTTGTTGCTTAAGTGTTGTTGTTTCTATTATTTGGTTTTTTCTATCTTTGGTTATCTGTTGGTAACTTAATAGTTAGCTTGACCTAGCACAGTTTCAGTGTTTTAGGAATCCTGCTTATATCTATTTAGTTCCCTTTGTGTGTTTTCTGTTGTGTTCATGTCATCTCCACCAGTTGAACCTGGAAGTCCAATGGAATCCAAAGTCGCAAAATTAGACTTTCGAGATCCGCTGTACTTGCATTCTAGTGACACTAGTGGAGCCTCTCTTTTATCTTTCAAATTATGTGGCACTGACAATTATAAAGTTTGATCGTGTGCTATGATTTTAACTTTAGAAACTAAGAAGAAAAAGAAAATTGGTTTTATTGATGGGTCATGTCCTCATCCTATGAACGACCATGTCTTAGAGAGACAATGGGACCGTGTAATTCGGTTGTTCTTTCTTGGATTCTTAATTCTATGACTAAGGATCTTTTCTTAGGACAGGTCTTCTCTAAAGAATCCTCCCTAGTTTCGGAATAATTAAAATAAACATATGACATAGTTGATGGGTTTGATACTTTCAATCTATACCAGAAAATCATTTTCTTAAGCCAAAATGGCTCTTCTGTTTCTGAATATTATCACAAGCTAAACTCTCTTTTGAAACAATTTGATGCTCTTGTAAAGCTACCATCATGTATTTGTATGGCCTCTCACGATTTTTTGGAGCACAGTCAACTGATCAAACTCATGCAATTCCTTATAGGATTGAATGATATTTACCAACCCATTAGAAGCAATATTTTAACTAGGGACCCTCTTCCTTCAATTATAACCGCTTTCTCCCTGATTTCAAATGAGGAATCTCAAAGGGGGGTAATCTGTCTCAAAATCGTTCGAAAATCGAACATTCTGCTTTCCTTAGTAAAAGTGTTGATACTAGAAAAAGAATAGGTAGAAATTTTGGTAATCTTGCGTGTAAACATTGTGGAACTACAGAACACACCATTGAGAGGTGTTTTTAACTAATAGGGTTTCCAAAGGATTTTCAAAATCGACCCAGACCTCAAAATCAAGGTTTTAAACCTCAAAATCCAATTTTTAAACCAAATGCCGGAAGTGTTTCTGTCCTTGAATTTGTTTCTTCTAAATCTTCCT